TTTCTTATTGTAGTTTTTTAGATATATATGTTTTTGCTTTAGCACAAAATTTGGCAAAATGATCTACGGGAAGAGTTGCTTGTGAACCCGGATTCAGTCTTGTATTAAGTATTCTAACTACTGTTTTTCAGAAGGCTTCTAGAAGTATAATTAGTTTGACGTTTAAGAGATCATAGTTCTAATCTTTATTTTTTGAGATTGGGTATAGCTGACCTATTTTTTACTTAACTGAAATATTTCCTATAGCTAAGCAACAGTCTGCTAGTATTGTAAAGATCTTTTAGACTACCTTTCCTGCTCTCTTAATTAGAGGATAACTTATTTCTAATACTTCTAGTACTAATTGTTTTTTGTTTTGCTAAGAGCGTTTCTTTATTCTTCTTCTGTAACTTGATCAAGCAAGTTAGAGTAAATATCTTTGTTTAACTTTTCTATAAGAATATAAGCTCTAATTCATTTTGAAGGTGAAGAGCTTTGTTTTGTATTGTACTTTTGGAATTGTCTCATAAAGTGTAATCATACTTTACTTTATACTTCTCTTTCTTCTGTAAGCAAAACCTTCTCTTCTCTCTTAGATTTCATTACTCTATCGATTTTAACTTTTTTAAAGAGTCTTTTGAGAAAACTATTAAGCATATATTTTAGTTTTTCTTGAATTGCTTCACACTGAGTATCAATATATATATTTATATTTGCAAGTTCTTCTTTTTTTCTTTCTTGCTATGCTTTAGTGCTAAGGATTTTCTACTATTCTTTAAGGTCTTCATATCTATTAGTAGTCCACTACTCTTCCATTATCTGCTCAATTTGAGTTTTATATTTTTCATTGAGGCTAACTATCTTTGAGTTTGCCTGTTGATATTCTTCATTATCTATATTTTGATCTGGTTTTCTAGCATATATATAACAGATCTTCTTCAGATGCTTCAGATCCTTTTGAATTTTATTGCTAGCACTTAGCTTTTTTAAGGATACTTTGTTTGCTGATATCTTTTGGTTTGGAAGAGTAGTGTATGCACTTTCTATAATCTTATTTGCAATAATATCCCATAATTCATCTATGTTTTTATTTGTACAGATTTCTTCTAAAAGTTTGTTATTGCTATCTAAATTAAACTCTTTTAATAACTTTTTATCTAGCTTTGTTCTATAGTTTTCTTAATTCTTTTCTTCTGCCTTATCAAGTTTAAATATTCTTTTCTTCTCTTTTATATGCTTATCTTTTCTAGTGAGTTTGTTTTTTGTACTATTCCTGTACCCAGATTTGCTAATACAAATTTGTAATTGCTTTTTGTAATATACTCTGCTTCTGCTATCTTGCATTTCAAAATATACTAATATAATCTGCTTGAGGCCCAGATATAGTCTATTCTTATACTAGCTATCTTGTTTATTTATGTGAACTCTTTTTTGCATAGATACATTAATCTGAATACATCTTTAAGACTTGAGTTTTCTAATCATCTTAGAAGAGGAAGAGACTATTTTCTGCTTAAGGCTTCATTGTTTTGATCTATATCTTTAGATTTAATATCATTGAAGTCACCTATGATAATAACTCTAATATTGTCTTTTTTATAGTCTCTTAACTTTTTGATTACTTAATATTGGATTTTCTTCTTTTCTTCTTTATTATTTGGTAGAATATATATACAAATCACTAGTAATTTATACTTTTTAAATAATATTAATATGTCAATATAGTAGTTACTATATCTTGTAACTCATTTTATATACTTTTCCCACATTTTACTAACTATTAAACCTACTTCAGAGCCTTTTAATTTATCTTTACATGCTTCAGTTTAGAATTCTATATAATTATTTCTATTTTTGAGTATAAATTTATCTTGTCACTCTGTAATGTTTGTTTTATTAATTTCTAATATATTTATATAGTTTTCTAATACTCATTTTATTACTAATTCTAATTTATAACTATTAGCTTTCAGGTTATTAATGTTATATGTAGCTATCTTTACTAATCTAAAGTCTAATTTGGTTTGGTTATTGACTAAATTTTTCCTATACTGTTGAGCAAGTTTCCTTCTTATTCGTGCTAGGATTTCTTTGATTTAACAGATATGACAATTAGGAGCAATTTGCTTCTACTCTCTTTATATTAGCAAGTTTCTCTTCTAAGTATCAGAGCTATTGTGATATATTTTTTAAAGAAGATTCTTGATCATTCTGTTGGTCTTGATTTTTGAGATCTAATCTAGTATTTCTTCTACTTTTTTTTAAGAACAGATGATTTTCTAGTATGTTGTTTGTTGTTTCTTCACTATCACTTAATTTATTTCTAGCTATGTCTTTTTAGCTCTATAACACTTCTGAGGCTTCTCTATCTAGTATACTCTTTGTCTCATATCTATTACTCTCTCTATTATACTTTGTATTTTGTATATATTTGGAGCATTCTGCTTTAGAATCTAAATCTAATTCTTTTCTTTTTCTTAGACTTTGATACTTCTTATTTGTATAGTTTCTTGTTTATTGTGTTTTTTACTAAATATTGCTTTTGTATTTTCTGTCTTATAATTTGCCTATTCAAGCTTAATATTATTGTAATATATTGCAAACTTTGAACTTCTTGTTAAGTCCTCTTCAGATTCAAAGTATACTATTGCACTTCTCATTCTGTTATCGTTTGTGTTTTTGAAGATATGTAATGCTTTTACACTTGATCTTCTAACTTGTCTTTATAGAAGAATTTTATTTGTATTTTCTGATAAATTAAGAAGTCTTGTGTTGAATCTGTTTCTTGTATATAGTGTATTGTGTTTGTCAACTCTTGCTAATAGTCTTACAAGTAAGTGATCACTAAAAAGCAGACACCATATCTCATTTAGAATTCTTTTGTTATATATATTTTCTTTATATTCTACAATAGCTCTAGTTCTGCTCAAGGAGCTTCTTATTATTTTAATGTATTCAATTCTTCCTATATATCATACTGTTTTAAAGATCTGAGATCTCTTTGTTCTGTTAGGTAAATCCCATATAGTAATCTTGTTTAGATCATTTTTGAATTTCTTAAAGCAGGTTTCTTGTTTGCTAGTAGATACTTCATTACTTTTGCTTTAGTATATATTAGTCTTTTTGTTTCTGTTTCTGCATATATATATGTCTTCTAATTCAAATCTTACTTACTCTTCTAATTCTAATCATGCTTGCTCTTTTTTTTTTCTTTTTCTTTCGTGAATAGCATGTTTCTCTTTTTTTTTCTTCTTTTGGTATTACTTTTGATTTTGTAAGACTTATTTTCTTATTTATTTACTCTGTATTACTTTTACTCTTCTTGATTTCTTTACTATTTTAGTTATTAGTTTCTGTTATTCTAGAATAATTTGCTTCTAAAATCTTTTCTTTCTTTATTAATTTAAACTATTTGTGTTCTTTTTTTCTTTCTACTAATCTTTTTTATGTGTTTTCAAAACCTTTCTTACAATTAAAAATTAGTACATACTATAAGTTTCCTTTAGAAAACTCTTTATATATTCATTTTACATAAGAGTTTTCTTTTAGTATCTATTTTAGTGACTTTGCTCAATGAACTATATTATCCCCAAGTATATTTGCTACTGAAACTTTTGCTCTTATATCTTTTGTATTTTCATATCTTTCTTCTTTTGGTATCTAGATACTATCATCTAGTGATTTTGTTAAATCTAATACATCTTCTTGAATTGCTTTAATTCCTTCTATACTTTTTGTTACATTTTTAGTTGTTGCTTTTGCTTTTGCTTTAGGTTGAATTTCATCTAAGGTCATCTCTACTTCTATAAGCTTTAAACTAAGTAATTTATCTATATTTGTTGTTTCTATACTCATTTTATTCACTTCTAATTCTTGTTTATCAGAATTATTGCTTGTCTCATTGCTTTCTTGTTTAGAATATATTCTACTTTTCTAGGGTTCCTAGGTTCAGTTCGAGTTCAGTCCGGTTCAGATCAAACCTGAACTCGAACTGAACTCGAACAGTATAATTTTACTAATTTCAAACCTGAACTCAGACTCAAACTCAGAGTTTTCAAACTCAAACCAGACTCGAACACAGTTATAAGTTTGGTTCAGGTTTGGTTTAAAGTTTATAAACATATTCGGGTTCGAATATAAAATAATTAAAAAAAGGCTTTACAGTCTAAAGTTTAACAGACTCAATTCCTGAAGACTTTTCAGAAATTGAGTCTGATAAACTATAAACTGTACTATTATATAAATAGAGCCTCAACTAGACTTGTTAATAAAATAAACTGTAGTTTAATCTAAAACTGTAGTTTTAGATTAAACTACAGTTTACTGTAATTTGTAGTTCGCATTAGAGATAGGCAAGGTAATAATATAAGTAATAATTACTTATTTTTTTACCTAGTACTTACACTTACATATAATTACCAACTATTACTTATAATGAATGATTATTACTTATTAGGAAATATGAATTTTTAAACTCAATAATTTGTTGATCAGATTGAATTTTGTATCTTTACTTATTATTATTTATTACATAAAAAATCATAGGAATTAATTAAAAATAATAAGTAACAGTAATAATATGTTATTTACTTTGTTTATCTCTAGTTCGCATCTCTAATTAATATAAGGGATAATTGGTATAACATTTAAAGGAATTATCTTGAATTGGATCAAGTTAAGTGAACAAAAAAAAAAAAAAAACTTAGACAACGAATAATGAGTTTTATATCGATGCAATTAGAAGAAATTACATCAAATAATAATGCCTCTAATAATGACTATGATTATGACCATGGTAATGACTATGATAATGATCATGATAATGACTAAGATTATGACCATGGTAACAGCAATGATAATGATAATGACTATGACAACAGCAATAATAATGATAATGACCATGATAATAACTATGATAATTCTGCTGATGATAATTGTAATACAATTAGCAAGTGAAGTAATAGAAGTGAGGTGTGAAACTTTTTTAGAAAGGTCACATAGTAAAAGAAAAAAAACAGCCAAGTATACAGTATCAAAGTGCAAACATAAGGAGTTTTCTTGTAAAAAGGGGGGCTCTACTAGGCCACTATGGCACTACTTAGAAAGTGTACATTGAACCCAGTATGTTATGACTGAAGAATTTAATAAAAAAAAAAGAAAGATGCAAAGTGAATGTGGTACTGTTAAGGATGTATTTAAAAAGGTTAGCTTTATAGTTCTGCAAGTGCCAAGCACGATACTATTAAAACATAATGCCTATACCAGACATTATATTTTAATAGTATCGTGCCTAGCACTTGCAGAACCCTAATTAATTCTTACCATTTTTATTTTATTTTATTAATTATTTATATTTTATCTAATTTGAAAAATATTATATAGAATCCTAAAACCTAATGTTAGCTGATATTAATAATATAAAGCTTCATGATATGTTTGCCACTTGGATTATTAATCGTCAACGCCCATTTAATATAATTGAAGATGCTAAATTAATTGAAATTATAGAATATTTGAATCCCACAGCATATTTAGTTAAGGCTGATGCAATAAAAGAAGCAATAATG